AGATGTATCTCTGGTTGAAAATCAGGAGCTGGTTAAATTTCCCTGAACAACACTGGTGCAATTGCACCCCTGACTTCAGTAATAGACTTCAATTACTCTAAGTTTATCTTGAATGAGGTGATTGGGAACATTGAAGGTAAGAAAAGGGATAAGTTCGTTATGTATCCAAGATTCCTTCAGTTAATCTTCAACTTCATGGACCCATAGATCGAGAGAAGTGGACAGACCTTGGAGCTCAAGTCTATTAGTTCAAGTGCTTTTGGCCCGATGAAGAAAAATCTTAAGGGAAAATTTACTTTTGAAGGAAAGTATCCCTTGGGTTAAGTTTGGAGCTTTGCTGAAGTAGGTGATGATTCTGATGTTGATGATCTTTTAAACCCTACGGAAACTGAAACTGAGGATATTGTTATCTCAACTTCGGAGCATGAGCACGAAGAAAATCGTGTTCCTCTTGTCGCAATTGTGGTAGAGGAACATGACCAACTGAAAATGTGGGGGTTCGAAGTGATTATAATGAGGATGATGATGATGATGATGATAATGAGGATGATTTTCAAGAGAATTTGATGGACCATGTGTCGGTGAATGACAATGAAGAGGATGATGAACTTTTTGATGGAATGGATTTTTCTGGTTTTAACAATGATGCCATTCCACTTAATTTTGATCTTGAGCAGGAAGACCTTGTTCCAAGTTCAGAGTTCCTCGACAAGCTCTTTATCAACGTCAATGAAGTTGCTCAAACAACAATGAAGACTAGGGTTGTTGATGATGATCTTGAAACAATGCCTCCTACATAAAAACCGATGGATGATATCTTAGGTCAAATGGATGCAACTTTAGGGATTCCTCCCCTTGTTGGTGCTATTCCAACATCTATGCTATCGATGAGCGATCAGATAATGACACAAACCTGCCAACCTCCTGTGAAAAGAAGACGATTTGATCCGAGACAGGGATCACTTATCCAAGAACAAGCACAACCAGCTCAATCGACAATCACAACCACATCTGTTACTGCACCTCCTGTACCAACCCAACAAGGCCTAAGTATTATATATGAAACTGGAGTATCTTCAGCTATTCAAGGATATTCCACTACAAGGCCATCACTAGATGAAGCCTCTATCAGGCTAGCAAAGTACTTGACACAACAACTCAGTCTAGCACCTTCCTCATGTGGAAAAGGAATATCTATTTAGGAAGGTCATTCAGGGGATGATGATCATACTATATCTAAGCTCAGAGAAGAAATCGGCATTCTAAATCAGAAAAACATTGAGAAGGAGATTCTGATTGGAAAATATGATATAAGCATCGCTAAACTTGAAGCTGATAATGCTCTAAAGTCAAAGTGAATCTCTGACTTGTAGACTAATCTTGGATCCTTAACTGCATTCTACTTCAGCTTAAAGAAATTTTTTTTTGAAGAATCTGGTGACAGGTTTAATTCTTTGTTTCAACAGCCACCATCTAATGTAGATGCCTCCAGTACACAAAGCTCAGTCTCCTCCTCATGACAACCCAGTAGATCAACCCCCTCTCAGAACCACAAGGGCGGTTGATCGATTTGAAAAGGAACCAACTCAAGGTCCTCACATTGTTACTTTGAAACTTGCCAAAGCCGTGTCATCTTCTAATAAGCAAAAGTATTTGTTCAAGTGGAACTTTGATCAAAATACTCATGGAGACCAATCCTAAATCACTGTTACAGATCTTGAATCCAGATATTTTGGTGGCATGTACGGAGATAGATCTAGAATTGTGTCATGGGGATTTCATGACGAATTACAATTATGGCTTGTGAAGAGGAAAAGTGCCAATGTGGAGTATTAGAAGAGCATACATTATTTCAACTCTTTTACTAGAGTTGACTTGTTTGAACTTGCTGATGCTCCCTTTCTCAATCCAGGAAATCTTCCTCAAGCGACTAAATTCAAGCATTTCCTGGAACATCAAGTAAAAAAGGGATTTCCTAGTATGAAGAATGTTGAATCCTTTCTCAAGAGCCAACCTGACGTTCTTAATCCATTGACTGGCAAGCCTATCCATACAGTGATGTAGCCAGCCACTAATCAAGTGAGACATATCCCTATCTTGCAGAAATTCCACGATGGTTCTTTAAGAAACATGCTCTACTGGGTATTTGATGAAGCCACAACTTCTACTGTCATCAAATTCAAAGATGGTTGTTTCCGTTTGTTTGACAAGAAGGATATTTTTCAATTTGGAAATTGGGATATTCATCAATTGGCTCTTCATCAAATTTGGGTTGTAGAAGTGATCATTGAACCTGTCGCTGAGGTGTACACTAGAATGGTTGCGGAGATCATTAAGGAGTAGATGTAGTGTGGTGCCATGGAAGGATCTGATGTTCTAATTATTGATAAAGACTGAGTCTATGCTAGCCTCAAACCAAAGGGAGATTGATAGGTCATAATTTAATGGTTTGGGCTAGGGATTCATTTTGTATAAGTCTTGGTAGGTTTTTGGGATTTATTGAGGTGTATGTAATGTTTATATGTTGTGTACGGTCGTGGTTGTGTGTACGGCCGTACACACATGTTCGGCTGGTGGTCCTATAAATAGCTTGTGTCAGTGTCAGTCACAGGGTGACGTATATTAGTGTATGCAAGATGTACCTGACATTTTTGTGATATTAACTTATGCATGCTCGACTTAATCTTTCCTCTACTCCATTCTTTTTCTAACTGATTGCTATTTGATTGATCACTGGTTTGTATCATTGAAATCGGGACTTACAAATCCGTTATTTATTAAATAAATAACAATAGTTGTACGCGTTGACTAAATATATCGTTTTCGTTTATTGAAAATAACCCCTTTTTGAATCATGTTTGTCAAAATGACCAAATATAATCGATGTTCGCAAAAATGGTCCGTCCTTTTATAAATTATCAAATAATACTCATATTTTTTAAAAGATTTCATAAGTGGTTCAAAACTCTGTGAATTGTTGAAAATGGCCCATTTCTTCTAAAATGCTCAATTTAGACTTATATTTAAGAAAATATTAAAAAGGCCCTTATTTATCCAAAAAATTCCATTTTTGGTCCTTTAGAAATTAAGATGTTCAGTAATTACTCAAATTTATCCCATGTTCCAATATAGTCCTTATATATTTATATGGCCGAAACTGGACCCCAAAAATATCATTATTTCCATAATCTAACCACTTCCAAATATTTTTTCCAACAACTTGTTTTAAGCAAAATTTTGAAGCAATCCTTATGGTTTTGGTCATAATAATTTGTGACTCATATATTGTAACATACTAGTTCTTGGTTCTATACATCATTTGTTAATTATGGTTTAAACACTTGAGACTTGCACAAAATTTCGAATACTAGGACTAGTTCATATGGAGTTTTCATAGATTTAGCACATATATAGCTTAGCATACATGTATTACAAGAAAATATATCAAACTTTAAACAAAACCTTGCCTTGTATCCTCCCCAAAAATAATGAAAAGCTAAAAATAGGGGTATGAAGCTCACATTGGGTAGAAGATAGTGTAATTGAAGAGATGAGGTGAGAAATTGGAGCCTAGAACACTTGAAGTGTTGGACGAACTTCTTGAGGAATTTTGCTAGTATAAGATTATGAACACATAAATTTATGTGTGAGTAGAAGATTAAAATAACTAATTGTATGAATCATTTAACTAGACATGATTTACTCACCAAATCTTAGGAAGAATTGTGAAGGAAATGGTTTTCTGCAACTTGGTTGAAGGCTTGGGATAGTTCATGGAGGTTCACAGAATGCAAAATTAATTTGTGAAATGAGGAAGGGAGTTTATGCTCCTTCATATGGGGGTAAGAGTCGGATGGGATGTTTGCTTTGATTACTGAAGGATAATATCAAATTACAAAGGGTTAACGCATGTTTTACTTGGATCTACATTAGGACATTAATGCATGAATTGAAAGGGGTTCAGGGTCATAATGGGTTTTAACAAAGGGTTTACGCTCAAAAGAAATCCCCTAAGGGATTTACGACCAAAAAGGGATCCACCAAGGGTGGTTTATGGCCTAAAGGTGGCCTAGATTGGTGTTCACTACCAAGGCTTGGTGATTTGAGGTGTTTTACGACCATAATGCTTCCTTGAAAGTTTTTCACGACCAAACTCATACCACATAGTGTAGTACTTCACGATCAAGGTGCTTCCTAGGGAAGTGTTTATGGTCTAGATGTATAGGATCTTTAATATGTTTGTTTTGTTGTTTATGTGATTACATTTAATGTAAGTTCAACATTACATATGTTCATAAATAACTGCAAATTTTTATTTTAATTATCTCCTACAATTTTGGATAATAATTAAATGGAAATAATAGATTTTTATTTTTATAGACGGTTTTATGGATGTATGATTTATTTTGGTTGTATGTTGATATATATATATATATATATATATATATATATATATATATATATATATATATATATATATGAGCTAGGTTCAGGTATTAAAAGTAACTATTATGTTATTGTATGCATCAAAATAAAATAAAAATTAAATAATTAAATAAATAAATAAGGATTATTTAGTAATTTGTTTAGTAACTTCCAAAAATAATGCCTATAATCATGATATTCTTAAATAAATAAGCGTGGTCCCCTCTCAATTACATTCTCCAATATCGTACAGTCTGCAAATCATGGAATCCCTCGTTACAAGTAGTGATTTCATCTCCGCTCATCACAATTTAACCACATTGATCATCGAAAATGGAAATCAAACGCTATTGATTAGGTATTTCAATCGAAAATGGAGGTATGTTGATTTTGGTTTCACAAGAAACCCTAAATTTTTATATTGTCGCCCTCTTCCACTTCTTGATGCATTCTATTTCGATTTTGCTTAAATAATTCGAAATTAAAGGTAATTTTTTTTCAACAATGACCATTATCGTCTTCACAAAATCGAACCATTCAACGAAATCGACGGAAAAGATGCAATCGGCGACGAAATGGACACGCCGGAGGGTGGAGCTGGCAGGAAAGTAGGAGAAGAAAAGGAGATTGGAAAAGAGGGGTTGAAGAAAAAGATCCTTAATGAAGGTGATCGTTGGGATACCCACTTTAATGGTGATGAAGTTGAAGGTAATTTCGATACATTTTCTTCAAAATCAAAACTTTCATCATTTGCATGAATTTCGATTTAGGAATTCCATAATGTAGCATTCAGATTCAATTCTATGGTTCACTATGTTGGAAGTTTACTCGATGGAACTCGATTTAATTCAAGCCTTGAATGGGAGCTACCATTTAAGTTCAAGCTCAGGCTTGGTAAGTGTAATTCTGAGGAATTTCACACGATAATTCTTCTTTCTAAATTAGTAATCGTATTTGGAACATTAACCATGATTCGATGTCTGCAATCTTCTTGATATTCGTTCTTGCCATTATAGGACACGTAATTCAAGGGTGGGACGATGGTATCAAGACTATGAAAAAGGCGAAAAATCCCTTTTTATAATTCCTCCCACTCTTGCATATGGTGAATCTGGATTGCCTCCCACTATTCTTCTTAATGCATAGGGTGTTTTTGTCCTGCTTTGTCAAAAGCTATGAAAACAATGAAGAAGGGAGAATAAGCCCTCTTCACAGTGACGCCACAATGTTACATTTTCATTTTTTAAATTTGAATCAACACGAAATTTTAATTTATTATATTTCACATTCACAAGATGGAATCTTGAAGGGTTTTTTCGTCATTTCGGATGGATAGATGGATTTGGGGAGAACGGGTGGGACCCACCAGGTGGTGATGAATGTGTTGTCCCACCAAACACCACCATTCACCACGTTTGAAAAAAAAATTATTTTACTGGTATATTTGTTATTAATGGGATTTTGCATAGTTCAAATGATACTCTGTGATTAAACATTTTTCCGATGATTCTATGGAAGAAATTCTATACTCGAGACCAGAAGTCAATATAAAGAATGCTTGAAGAACCTTTCCACTATGTGAAGTTCTTGTAGCTTCAAATTAAGGTATATACATAGTTATTAAGCTATGGTAAACCATAGTTCACTTTTTCCGCCATATTAATTTACAGACATGGTGATCGAGGTGACTAATTTTTTCCTAAGTTTATGCAGCTGCTAAGCTCAGATGACATGTGTGTTTAGGTTTTGAAGAGGAAAAGAAAGAAAACATGGAGGGACGATAGTATATTCTAGTAGAATGTATCCATACATAATACCATTGACATGGTGTTCTTAAAGAATGGAGGCATGTTAATATAATTATTGGTAAATGAATTCCAATTCTATCCGAATGGAATCACGAATTCTAATTATGTTGGAATGGAATATGAATATTTTCTCACTAATTTATTCATTTGATTTGTTTCCACGGAAGCTGATGCTTGAGGAACGGACCACAGAATTTGAATGATGCTTCTTAGTAACATTATTCTTTTAGAATGAATAACTGTCCTTGTTAGATTTTGATGTTTTTTTTTTCAAGATTTGAAAGTTTTTATTTATTTATTTATTTATTATTCTTTAACAATAAATGTAATTATTAATAATTGTTACATATATTCTATAAGAATTAATTTAATTTTTGTTTTAATTCTTAAATTGATGGTTGCAGAATTTTGTTATTCTATAAGAAATTATTGAAGTCATGATCAAGAAATATATTAAAGAATATTTTTATTATTTTATGGTTCAAGAATATTTTTATTTTTGAAAATTCTCATACATATTCTGACAGAATGTCCGAATCTAAAACTTTATAATTCATAAAATCGGATTTTTAAAATTAATAGAATCTATGATTGCATAAAATATGCAAATGTTCTTTATAACATTTATATTAATCGACTAAAATACCCTTCTAGTTATAATATATGGTATTTTTGATTTATATTATCCCAACGGTATCCGGTGTTGCACTCTCTTATTGTGGTCGACGGTTCAAGTCCCATGATGGGCATAGGTGGATAATAAAGAGTAGAGTAGATTTGCCTTTTCAAAAAAAAAAAAAAATCATTTACTTAAAATAAATAAAATTGATTTGCCCACGTTTATGCATACAATAACATAAAAATTATTTCGAATACAATAACCTAAGCTATATATATATATATAATATTATATATATATATATATATATATATATATATATATATATATATATATATATATATATATATATATATATATATATTTGTGTGAGTGTATATACGGTGATACATACACATAAGAAATAAGTACAACTGGATCACCTGCTCTTTGGCTGTTTGCTGTTTGTTCCAAAGAATCCAATTTCAAATCAGTTTTGGGTTTTGTACATTCTACTACAAGTTGTGGGTAACTAAATCAACTGTAGCAATATCTTCAAATCCTAACGAGTGGCTACACATTCTTTCTGTGTCTTAATTATTCAGTAGTTAATTATATTGACAACAAAACATGACCACTCCTTTTGTTTTCTTGCATTTGGAAACAGTATCTATCTCCCATTCTTGTTTCTTCTTTTTCACCCTTGTCATTCTTTGCTTGTTTTGGTTCACATTTTTTCTAAAGTGCTGCCTAGATTGGTACATGAGAACATAAGATTAATGGCTTCCGAATCTGGTGAAATGGAAAAACCGATAGTTATTGATCATCATCAAGAACAACAGCTGCAGTGCCAGAAGCAACAATCTTTGAAGTGCCCACGATGCGATTCATCAAACACTAAGTTTTGCTACTACAACAACTATAGTTTGTCACAACCAAGACATTTCTGTAAAGCGTGTAAGAGGTATTGGACTAGAGGTGGCACCTTGAGAAATGTTCCTGTGGGTGGTGGTTGCAGGAAAAACAAGAGAGTGTTCAAGATGCTAACGACAGCGACTACTCATGCTCCTTCAAATTCACAACCAGTTGACAATAACCCTAACCCTAACTGTAAACCTAATTTTGATACCCATTCTTCTTTTTATGGGTTGGTGCCTCAAAACCAGAATTATGAAAGGTTCAACACGGTTGTTTCTGGGTGTGATTTTGCTCAACCTCAAAGAAGTAATCTTGGATTAGGGTTTTCTTCTATGAATCCTGGGGATGTAGTCGCGTCAAATCAGTCACATAATTCATCGTTATTTCTATCAAGCTACCCGTCGTCGGTGTTTGCTGATTCTACTTGTAGCTCAAATAGTGTGCCTACCATGGCTTCTCAGTTAATTTCAGGCTTCCAACAACCACAACGATATATGGAATGGAATAACCATTTTGAGTGCCAGAACAACGATGATCAACTCGAAGCTATGGCGTCATCTGATCCAAATTCACTTATATGGAACACGACTAGCGACGGTGGTGGTGGTGGTGGCTGGTTTGATCCTACAAGCAATATTGATTCTTCAGTTGCTTCCTTGATCTAATTAAGCCCAATAAATTAAAACCAACGAAAACGTTTTTCTTCTAAGATTCTCCTTTTTCTTTTTTACTGGTTTCTTTTTTAACTTCTTTTGTTTCTCATGGATAAACTTTGAATTGTTTAATTTTGTTATTACCGGAAACTCCCTCTTAAAACATTTAGAAGATCATAGTGGATCTCAGCTTCAGTTTTTACAATCAAGACAAGAAGAAGAAGAAGAAGAAGAAGAAGAAGAAGAAGAAGAAGAAGAAGAAGAAGAAGAAGAAGAAGAAGAAGTTAATCTGTTCTAGGACAGAAAAGGAATCTGGCTACTTACAATATCCAGTGAGTTTTATCTTCCTTCTTCTGTATATAAGTATCTCATGTATCGTTAAGCATTGAGTTTGGGGTGGTGAAGAGGGTGTTAATTTATTTGTTTTCTCATTTTGTATTGTTTTACTTTTTATGTGGATTCATATTCTAGGGTTTTCTTTGTTTGGTTTCAGAGGGAAAGAATGAGTATACAGGTATACATGATAGTAGATGTTAGGTTTGTTGGAATTTATCACTTCTTTAGTGTGGTTACATGTTGTTAGTTTTTTAGCTTTTATCTTGAAATTTCTATATATTTATATTTAATGTTCCTACTTATGAAATATACAGGTATACATGATAGTAAAGGCACCCCTGCATCACAGTACGTTTTACAAAGGAGAAAATGTATCTCATTTAAGATATTACATATAAATATCTAATTATCGGCACTTATTTTAACTTGCGATGAAGGGAGCATAATGTTTCTTCGTATAAGGGAATTCATATTGACACGCATATGAAATAATCGTATTATGTGTTTTATTCTTTCGGAAGTAATAACACATTTCATGCTACTATATAACCAACTCTTGGCATTCAATGGATTTTGAGAATGACAACTCTATTTGTTATTCAATGAGATTAAACTATATCCTAATAAGATGTCTACTTGAATTTTGAATTCAATGGTCTTTTTCAATGAGAAAAGAAAAGTTTTTAATTCTTAAATATAGTAAGTTATTTTTTGTAAATTTTTATTCAACTTTATAAAGTTCAATACATAATAAAAAAAAATTGATAGAATTATATGAAATTTAAAAAACAACCCAATTCATTGAATACTATGAAGTTTACTGCATTGTGAATGTCTTAACCATAAACATTAAACACTGAGGGGTAAAGTATTCCTAATTACAAAATTAAATAACCATGTGGAATACTTTATTCTGCATAGGTATATTTAACGATATGTATGCGCATGGTAATAATGTTATTATATCTAATAGACTATTAGATGAAATATGATATATGTATATGTGAAGAAAGTCTCATGTGAGCGTCTCCTTTTCTGAAGTAGTACAAATAAGTCTCATGTGAGCGTCTCCTTTTATGAAGTAGTACAAATTTTAATTCATGATGTTTTAGTGTGTTTTTAATTATTAATGGTATCCGGTAAAGAATTTCTTTTTATCATAATGCTTATGCATTTATATGTGAGGTACATTAACCTATATATGTCGTGTGCTCACGTGATCCCTAACAAAGAATCTGCAAATCTAGGAATATATCAAGATGGATTTAATTAGATTTTTTAACTGTTACCTGGAATATAGTACAGTATAATGGAAACTGAGTGCTGTCTTGGAAGCTTGCATGATGGAAGATTTATGCACACTGCACTTGTAATCGGGTGGTACTGGTACACAGGTAATGTGGAAAAGGGAAGTTCTGCCAAAGTAGACACATTTTTATGTCTGGAAAAACGTGCTCTCTCTCTCTGTCTGGAAAAACGTGCTCTCTCTCTCTCTCTCTCTCTCTCTCTCTCTCTCTCTCTCTCTCTCTCTCTCTCTCTCTCTCTCTCTCTCTCTCTCTCTCTCTCTATATATATATATATATATATATATATATATATATATATATATATGACCCCCAATCGCATATATGAAATAACTATCCGCATGTTTCAAAATTTAATTTGGATTTTAAGGTTTTTGTTATGCGGCGGTGTGGTTCAGTATCCACGACTCGGTACTTCCATGTAACCACGACGCGATACTACCACGTGACCACAACGCAATAATCATTTAATTATTGCAGTGTGACATCATTATCTATACATAACCCTAGGTTTTGTGCTTTGGACTTTGGGATTTGGGCCTATATATACGTCTTTAAGTTCTAGGTTTTCAGAGAATCTCGTCATTTAGCATCTTGTTTCGAAAACCCTAGCCCCCTAAGCATCTCCTCTCCCTTACACTAGAGTTCTTTATGATTTTTGAGAATTAAAAGAAAATAAGCAACAACTAAGAGTTTTAGGAGCGCATTATGTTGATAGTCTTGCTATATTAACTCCTTCTGCATCTGTGTAAGTCTTCTAGACTCAATTTTTATGTTTCTTACTCCATAGATCTAAGAAGTTAAGCTTGTTTTGGTGTTGTTCATGAAAAATAGAAGTAATTTTGATGAAATCATGGATAAAGCTTACAAATTTATTATTCCTTTATGGTTCTAGGATTAAATGGTTTTATGAATATGAGTTTTGTCTCCATTTTATGCCATGCATAGAGCTTTGACCATATTTCACCATTTTTAACCTAAAATGTTGTCACACTTGCATAGGGCATGCAAGTCTATAAACTTATGATTTTTATGGGCCATGAGATAGTATAAAACCTTTTGGGAAGTATAAGACTTGGAGTTAATGGATTACGAGTTTAATAAATGTATGTTTCTATCAATCAAACCACGATGCATTCAAGCACTTTCTATGCCATAGTGGACGAGGAGTTCACATGACTGCTTTGTCATAACTAGACCATGGCGAGGTGGACCGGTGATCGTTGACTTTTTTGACCAATTTTGTAATGCCCACAGATTCATGCTAGTTAAGCTAATGACAATAAGCATTTAAAATGACTTTTTAATAGAAGATTATTTAGAATAAATAATATTAACCAAAGTATATAGTATATGTCACAAAGCTTCTGTACATATAAAGAACGCTGAAATCTGACTTATAACAAAGAGGTTATGACCCGTCAAGGTTTTATGATAAAACTGGTACAACGTCGCGTATCGTAAAAAGTGAATTTTTGATATACTACTTTTTAGCCTTAGAGATCTAAACAAAAGTCGTAGTGAATGTTAAATTGAGAACGTACATAAAAAGAACATCCAAATCTGACTTTGTTTGAGGACTACTTTTTAGCTTTAGTGTAGTAGTACACAACTTGGAAATCGATTTTTAGATCTATCAATTTTTAGCCAGCACAACCTAAACGGGAATTGAAGATCTCATTAAAAGGAGCTCAACGATATAAAGTCAGTCGAAATCGCACGTTGGATGACAAAATTATGAATTTTTAATAGACATTAATTGTCTAAGCTTGTTAAAATATAATTTTAAAAATAAAGTCAAAATTAGCCAACAGAGTGTAAATGAAAGTTGTACATCACTCGCGATCCATGCGTGGATACAAGGAACGTCAAAAATGGAGATCGTATGCGAAAGTCACGGATTTTAGAAAATTATTAGTTTTTGGGATTAACCAACAAGTGACACGTGTCACCATCTCAACCACACCTTCTTCCCCACGGCTTTGCATCTGATTGTGACATGTCGCATAAGTAAGCCCAACGTAGCTCAGAGTACGCCCATCTTACTGAGTCCGCCCAACGTACGCGGGTGCTGCCAGCCTATAAATAGGAGGCGTTTTCACTTATTTTTCTCACATCTTTGTATCCATTTTTTCTCAAACACCCCAAAGCCTCTTTTCCTTTCCCTAGAACCTCCTATGTCACTACAAGAAAAAGTCGAAAAAACTACGGAAATTCGCTATGAAAGTAGAAACCATAGGTATTCTGCTATGGAATATGCTACCGAATGGCTTGTCGTTGCTATTTTGCTATGGATTTTGCTACAGAATTACATTCCGTAGGTGACATTTGAATAACTACAGAATTTTGCTACAGAATTTAAAACCGTAGCTATTCTACTATGGAAGATACTACGAACAAGTTAGACATAGGTGTATTTGCTACGGAATTAACTACGGAATTGCATTCTATAGCTAACATTTGGATAACTACACAATTTTGCTACGAAGTCGTAATTCGTAGTTTTCATGCTACAAAATTTGCTACATAATTATGAGGTGTAGGTATTTTTCTACAATTGTTGCTACATATTAAATTTTGTAGTTACTTTGCTACAAAAATTGTTACGGAGTCAAAATCTGTAGCTATGTCGCTACAGAATTTGCTACAAGATCGAAGGTCGTAGCTATTATACTATAATATAAAAACCTTAAATATTATACAATAGAAGTTTCCAATATGCAATTTTAAGTGTTTGGAGGTTTCTCAAGTAAAGTTTAATCCCTTAAAGCTGAAATTCGAATTGCAATTTCTAATTACTTAATTAAAAATTATTTTTATATTTTAAACATTAAATAAAAATATAAATAACCAATATAAAGTAAAATACATTTTAGACCTTAGACCGATTTATGGTTTTTATAAAGTAAAATACATTTTAGACCTTAGACCGATTTATGGTTTTTAGTATTTACACTGAGGAAACCGATTCAAGGAAACCAAACCATCAGATTGTTTATGCATTTGTGTATACCAAACCAGATTGTTTATATATGCAGGTGTGTTTGTGTATAATGCATGGTAAGGACAAAATAAATATAAGTGAATGTATGTTGCTTTTTCCTACCAGGGGTATTTAAGTCTTTTCTTTTAGTTTTTTGAAGCCTTTAGTCCTCAATGGTCTAAAATCTAAATTAATAATCATAAATTTGTACAACTAATTTTTTTATTTGAGCATTAATGTCGTTAATTTGTAGATTTTAGTAGTTTTTCCTGCCAGGGGTATTTAAGTCTTTTTCAGTTTTTTTTCGAGCCTACAATTGTCAATGGTCTATAATTTGAATTAATAATGATACAATAAAAAATAAAAAAAATATAAAACCCTAACTTAATTACCAAATCCTTTTTTTTTACATTCACATTCCCGCTCAAGATTTCCAAGCTTCCAATCTCCTTTGCGATCTTATCTCTGACGAAGGCAAGTACCTACGATAATTCCTTTGATCTCTGGCATATCCGACGATCTCTCTCTTATCCTATGAGATTGACGATAAATTCAACCAACAACAATTCTTACCACCTCAATAATTCTGTGCCGCCCCTCAAAAATTCTTGAGAAGAAGGGATTTAATCTAGTTCTGGTACCAATTAAATTTCATACGAACTTGTTTTCTTTACATCCGAATTCTATAAGGCAAGGGCTTCAGTCAATTTCCAGGTTAGCATCCATATTACATGTAATGTTGTTTAATCACTTCCTCTGTGTACACTTTTCATTCTTCTAGTTGTTTTGCATATCCTGTGAACCTTCCAAATAGCCTCATGATTTCCTTATATTCTTTCTTTCTCTGTGTACACTTTTCTTTCTTTGACTTTTTGTAATGAAGTGTTAGCAATTGCACTTTTAGATCAGGTGCTAGTGATTTACATTTGTGTTTTCTCATAGTATGAGTTTTTATATATATATATATATATATATATATATATATATATATATATATATATATATATATATTAGTGACATTGCCTGGAATACTCCTTTTCTTCATATGTACATGTAATCTTAGTTGTTTGTTTTTCCTATTTTCGTTTCTGGACTGACTAAAATGCGCATTATATTTGGGAAAATTTTCATTAATGTTGTTGATGTGGTGATGCTTGCATCTGTTTGCTACTTTGCTACTATTTCTTAACTTTTGGTGGGGTTTTGACTTATATTCCTATGATATAACCATGTTGTTTCTAATCTTTTGGTCCGGGTTTTGACCAAAATGCCCTTCATGTCTGGGCAAAATTTCATTAGTTATGTTGATGCTAT